GCATCATATCAATACAATCTGTCAATCTGCTGATCTTTAATTTTTAAATCATATGTAGTTCTTCACAATTAGCTACATGAATTTACTATATTATTTTTAATGCAATGATATGTACAGCTTTTAATTATTTTGCTCCTATGTTGAAAGGCCAGCATGTTTCTATTTTTCCCTATTCTAAAAGCAGTCTATATTTACATTTTCTCAAAGTATGATGGAATTGAAATGTTGAAAATGCCGATTTACAAGTCGAATGTCCTCAAGTCACCATTTAATCTTCTAAGATCGCTTTTGACTGTATTGTGATTTCATTATCTTCCCCTTACTCTTCTATCTGATGCTCCAATACTTTTAACTGTAAAATTATGTATTTCCTGAATAACATTTAACAAGAAAGGTCATAGTAAATGTGGTTTTATTTCTTTTCTTTTTGCTGATATTTGATGTTTCTCGAATTACCTTCACCATACACATCATGAATTATCAATTTGTCATCATTAGGATGCTTTCCAAAATACCATGGAATTGGATGCTTCTCTGTGAAATGTGCCTAAACCAATTGCACGCTTCCTGTTTTTTGCTTACTTTTCCTCCTTTTTTAACGTAAACTAGAGCTTGAAAGAACAAAGTACACAACTCCCGATGGATGCTGATGATGGGAACGCACCCTTGTACCAGACCTTGGAGTCTTATATGGGAGAGCCATTACCTCCCCCTGAAAATTATCCTGTCAATAACACCGGATTGCAGGGTAATGATTTTGCCTATAACTATGGGAGTTTTTATGTCGAACAAAAGAAGGAGCTTTTTGAAGTAACTCGGAACAGCCTTGAGTTGCTCTCTAGCATCTTGAGTACGGGAACAGAGCCAAAACCCCCAAAGGTAATTCTTCTGGTTCCAGCATGATTTAATTATGATCAAGTAGTTTATTTGTTCGTAGTTCTAGCTGCGTATCCGACAATTTCTGCCATGTAGCTATTCTTCGGTTGACCCTTTAGAACTGAATGTACCTTCTCTTTGACCGCTTAGGTTTGCCAGGAAATAAAATGCTTCTGCATTTTAGCTGTTATTATATTTTCCAAAATGCTATGCTGCATCTTGAATCTTCTTGTTCCTCCGATGTGATATTGTCGGCATAACATCATCCTAGTTTTTAAACGCTGGAAAACTCAGAAAGTTCTCCTGTGATGACAGGATGACCTGACGGAGAGCATGCTGGAGAAATGCAAGCAGTCACAGCTAGCTATTCAGATGATCATAGAAAGCACTACAGACGATGATGGAACCCTCTTTGAGGCTCTGAATCTGAATGATGAGCTTCAACAAGTCATCTCCAAATTCGAGGTGCTGGAAACTGGTTCGAAAGTCGACACCACTGCCGTTATTCCCACTGCTCATGCTGAGACCGATATAGAAAGTACATTGGACGCTTCACCTTCGAACCATAATGAAACCAAGACCATTGCGTCCCCGTCCACCCATAATGAAACCCAGATGAATGCTTCCCGAAAAGCAGGTGGTATCGAACCCGGCAGTGATGCGAAAGTATCGAACGAGAATGAGGAATCTGAGAGGGTTTAATTTCCATTTCCATGACTTGTGCTGGTTAACCTCGTGATTGGCTTGCTGTAATTAGGGAATAAGATTATATAGCCCGGACACGATGATTAGTTTATCGGTTGTGTAATTAAAATAATTTAAAATTTAATGACAAAAATGAAACAAAATATTATAAATATATCTTATCTCGCTTTAGGTGAACTTAAAAACACTCACTCTTCTTAAAAAAGTTTAACGTCTTTAAGTTCAAAAATACATTTAAGATGCTAATACATAACAAATATTATATAAGTTAAAATATTAATGAAAATACTACTACTACAAATTTATTAAATAGAACTTCAAATTTGAATTTTTTTCTCAATAATTATATTATTTTTTATTTACTGACAAATCTTTTAAATTTTATATAGTCAAATAAAAATAATACTGTAATTTTATAATAATATTTAGTCAATAACTGAATTGATATGATATTTTGTATCAACAAAAAATGAATATATATATATATTATCTTTTTGTAGGAGTCACCGAATTTTAAATTTCAATTGTGTTTATCAATTTTTTTAATTATATTAACTGTTTTTTTAGTTTTGTGAGAAAATTAATCCAACAAAAATGAAAAATAATCTTCTCATTATTATTACTTTTTGAATATCCATTTATTAAATTTTAATGATCAAGAAATATCAGTATACTTTTTTTAAATAGTATGTAAAAATATTATAGCATTTTTATTAATGTAAAGAATATTTAATAATATTATTTAATTATATACTTTTATTAATTAATTATTTTTTAAATTGATAGCTCGTAATTTGTTCATAACGTAGTTCAAACATGATTCGATGAACTTTTAAACCTTGTTAAAAAATAGAATAGATGATAAATTTTTCTAATAACATGCACAATAAGAAACAAACATTTTAAGAAATAACAAAACTTTAAAAATAAATACATATTTTTATTAAGATAAAATGGATGAACACAATTCTATTATGTAACCTAGAAATCGTAGATCTTTTATATATTTAAAACTATGAGACCTTATTAAAACTAGTTAAAAAAAACTAATCCCTAAGAAAATAAAATAATTGATCTTAATAAAATTGAGAGCAATGTAGTTTGAGTCTATAGATAAAATATCTATAACGCCTAAAGAGTACACCACAAATTTCATATGCCTCCCAAAAAGCATCACAACAATTTTTATCAATTTCCTTCAAAATATCACATGTTGTTGCTTTCCAAATCTTTTCAAAGCACTCATTGCGATAATTCTTTGTTGAACACCAACACAACTTACTTCTTTTCATGAAATTTGGAGCATTTATTGGTACTTCACATTGGTTCAGAGGAGTCGATGGAATTGGATTAACTATTATCGTAATTGGTGGCGCTTCAGTAGACGAATTTGATTTAGGTACTATTGGTGGTTGTGGCGGATGCGGGTTTGATTTAGTCATTGGTGGTGGTGGTGATGATGTTTGTGGATGCGGGTTTGGTTTAGTCATTGGTGGTGACGGCGGCGGTTGTAGTGGGTTAATTTGGGATGGTGGAGGTGGTGACAAACATTGACAACTACAAATCTTAATGCACGTCCCATTTACTATCTTTTTAATTTATTATTGTAGGTTAGTTCTAAAAAAACAATTCTACTATCTTTTTTGTTTTTTTTTTAAATTAAACTAAAGAACTAAATTTATCTGTTCACAACTAGTTTATTTATCTATAGCTTTTTTAATTTTTTAATAAAATATAATAATTATAATTTTTATGATGTAACAATTATGATTTAGACTATATTTTTAATGATATTTATTTAGCATATCTAATAATCTTATAGGATGATTTTATCAAAATTTAAGTTCTATTTAGCTATTTAAATATTTTTCATAAAAATATTTAGAATTATAGTTAATATTATTTGTCTGAAATGCTACTAAATTTTAATTATTTTATTATTTAAATATATATATTTTAGAAAAATATTTAAGTGATAATTTTTAAAGATATTTAAAACGACAATTAAGATATAATAGGTAAAAAAACTTTTAAATAATATTAATAAAAGATAAGACAAATTCTTTCAATATATTTTAAATAATATTTTTAATATTAACAATCATTGTTCATGAGTTAAAAATAAAATATTTATTTATTATGTGTTTGTTTAATATGTTTTGGCACAATTACAAAATGTACTAGTTGACTCTACAACAATCAAATTAGAAAAGCACCAAACTCAATCTCAAATGATCATCTTTCCTTATATAAAATCGAATAACATACACCAGATTAGTCCCAACGATCAGTTATAGACTTTCTAGTATTGCAAATTCAGTCTTTGACTACTATGTTTTTATTCAAATTCCTTAACAATCATTATTCCTTATTTTATTTAATTACATCCTTAATGTTTTGATTTATTAAAAATAAGTACAATTTGAATTTGACAGTTATATTATATCTTAAGTGTCATACCGACGAACATGACACAACTGACAATTTAGTAAGAATTGATGGGTATTAAATGAAGTTTAATTGTGACTGAACTGATGTATGATATTTCTAAGAGTAATATTCACTATACATATCAGACAGCTGACTGCTCATGTGTTATTTATTCTTTATAAGTTAAGGATATTCAGGAAAGATAATATTTGGAGATTGAGTTTCATGTTTTTCGAATTTGGATATCATTGAGCTAATTAGTACATTTTGAAATTGTGTCAAAAAATATTAAGATGATACATTATAAATAAATATTTCTTAAATCCATGAACAATGATTGTTAAGATTTCATTAGATTATACAAAGATTGAAAATATATTGAAAGAATTTGAATTATCTTTTAGTGAATATTATTTAAAAAAAAATTAAAAATATTATATTTTTCATTTTAAATATCTTTAAAAATCATCACTTGAATATTTTTTTCTAAAAATTATATTTAAATAATAAAATAATTAAAATTTAAATAATATTTTAGATAAATAATATTAACGATAACTTTAAATATTTTTATAAAAAAAATTAAATAACTAAATGGAATCGAACTTTAGTATATCAAACTTTAAGATTATTAAAGATGTTAAATAATTATCATTAAAAATATACTCTTCGTCATAATTATTACAACATAAAAATATAATTACTATAAATTACTAAATATTATTTCTATAAAATTAAATATAAAAGTAGATTAATTGAGAAAAAAGATAAATTTAGCTGAATATATTTTTTTTAAAAAAATAAAAGAATTATAATAATTTTTTAATTTAAATCTAACCTCCAATAACAAATTTGAAAATTAAAAAAAATAACATTTTAGATAAAGTAAACAACCTGTATTTTTTTGTCTATAAATATAAAGTTTTAGAAGGAAAATTAAACTAAAACTGTGAAAATTGAAGTTGAGTGGAAGAATTGAAAACAAAATGATGGTGCAAGACATAGTTATTACTTTGTCAGTTTTGATGTTGTTGGCATCCATATTATACCGAGGGGATGCACAATCAAATTGTGATGAAACTAGCGCGGAATGTACTTGTTACCCACCTTGTCATCCTTATCTCTATCAAACCATAGTAAATGGAGCGTGCATTAAGATTTGTAGTTGTCAATGTTTGTCACCACCTCCACCATCTCAAATTAACCCACTACAACCGCCGCCGCCACCACCAATGACTAAACCAAATCCGCATCCGCAACCATCACCACCACCACCACCAATGACTAAATCAAACATGCAGCCGCCACAACCACCGGTAGTGCCTAAATCAAATTCGTCTACTGAAGCACCACCAATTACGGCAATAGTTAGTCCAATTCCATCGACTCCTCTGAACCAGTGTGAAGTACCAATAAATGCTCCATATTTCGTGAAAAGAAGGAAGATGTGTTGGTGTTCAACGGAGAATTATCGCAATGAGTGCTTTGAAAAGATTTGGAGAGCAACAACATACGATGTTTTCATAGAAGTTGATAAAAATTGTTGCGATGCTTTTTGGGAGGCATACGAAATATGTGGTGTACTCTTTAGGCGATATAGATATTTTATCTATAAACTCAAACTACATTGCTCTAAATTTTATTAGGATCAATCATTTTATTTTCTTAGGGATTAGTTTTTTTTCAACTAGTTTTAATAAGGTCTCATAGTTCTAAATATATAAAAGATCTACGATCGTTAGGTTACGTAATAGAATTGTGGTCATCCATTTTATCTTAATAAAAATATGTTTTTATTTTTAAAGTTTTGTTATTTCTTAAAATGTTTGTTTCTTGTTGTGCATGCTATTAGAAAATTTTACCATCTACTCTATTTTTTAATAAGATGTAAAAGTTCATCGAATCCTGGTTGAACTACGCTATGAACAAATTACGAGCTATCAATTTTAAAAAATAATTAATTAATAAAAGTATATAATTAAATAATATTATTTACATTAATAAAAAATGCTATAATATTTTTTACATACTATTTTAAAAAATATATTGATATTTCTTGATCATTAAAATTAAATAAATGAATATTCAAAAAGTAATAATAATGAGAAGGAAAAATATTGTTTTTTCATTTTTGTTAGATTAATTTTCTCACACAACTAAAAAAATAGTTAATATAATTAAAATAAATACAAAATTGATTGCACAATGAAAATTTAAAATCCGATGACTCCTACAAATAGATACTTTTTTTATTGATACAAAATATAATATCAATTTATTTATTTTAATGATTAAATATTATTATAAAATCATAATATTATTTTTATTTGATTATATAAAATTTAAAAGATTTGACAGTAAATAAAAAATAATATAATTATAGAAAAAAATCAAATTTGAATAAATTTTATTTAATAATAAAGTGTAATTGTTACATTTTTACATAACAAATTTATAAAGTAGTAGTATCTTCAGTAATATTTTAATTGATATAATATTTGTTATGTATAAGTACCTGAGATGTTCTTTTAAAACTTAAGGACGTTAATCTTTTTTTTAAGTAGAATGATCATTTGAAATTCACCTAAAACGAGATAATTATATTTACAATATTTTGTATCATTTTTATCATTAAATTTTAATTTATTTCAATTTCATATTAAATTTTGACTCTAACAAGGTCGTTAAGTTCACCAAAAACAAGATTTACATTTGAGAGATTTACTGTTTTGATGGATTTTCTCGTGTTTGAGAGATTTACGGTGTTTGTTAAAAATCGTTTGAAGTTCACCTAACATCCTAGTATCTGAAATATGTCTCAAAATTAACTTCATCGGACGGTCGTCGGGATATTAGAACATCACAACATCCCACCTTTAGATTGACTTCCATCGATTTGGAGTGAATTTAGTGAAAATAAACTTAAAAAAGAAAAAATATGTGTGCAATGTGAATATTTCGATATCGATTCTGTAACACCCCAATTAAAGGGCTAAATTTAAGAAATTATAAAGTGGTGAATTTAATTGGAATTTTAGAAGGAAATTGAGGATTAAATTGTAAAATTTCAAAGTTGGCAGACCGTTTTAAGAAGTACAGAAAATTCAATGGCTAAACTCATGATTTAACCATTTTTTTATATGTTGAATTATAAATCTCTTCCCCGTGCGCAGGCTGCATATTTTTTCCAGATTTTTCTTCTCCAACAACCCTCCTTTCAACTCCGATCTACTCGTCGTCCGACCTCCGATCGACGAACCGAAACCACCATCGTCTTCGTTGTCGACCGAGGAACAAAACCCCTCAAACCTTTCGTCGTGAATCGTCGCCGTTCGTCATTAATTTCAGTCGGAAGTATCGTCGGTAATAACTCGATTTCAGTTGGTTTTTCGTCGATTCACGATGATCCGGTCATCCGTTTACGACACCTCCTGCACCATCGTGTTCCTTGCATCGTTCCGAGTTCACCGGTGTTCTTCGTCGTCACCGGCACGTGGAGGGGTGAGATCGTCAAAGTTTCCGACATTTCAGAATTGAGCTCTCCGTCGTTAAAAATTGTGACCCGACCTTTGTAAGTGCCTTAAAATTGCTTAAAATACTTTTTAAGAAATTTTCCAGGAATTTCCCGATACCGTATCACTGTTCACGCGCCACACGCGCCACCCCTTGAGAGTGGGCATCGTCTGGGTGATAATTTAGTAATTAATTTATGTTTAGGAGCTATTTGTGTAAAATTCGGGTGTTAGATTGGTAAATATTTGCAGAATGTGGCTAATTTGGTAATTAATTTTTGTTAGGGTGATATTTGTGTAAAATGGTCGACTGTTGACCGTTGACCGGCGTTGACCACAGTTGACTGGCTTTGACCGTGCATTAAACGACCTTTGACTTTGACCGAGTATACCTATCCTGACATTTTTCGGCGTTCCAAATCCGATTCCGCAGTTCGTTTTTTGAAATTCGGACCCGAAGGCTCAAAATTTTCCAGTCAAACCTGTTGACTTTGATTTTAACCGAAAATTCCAAATTTTCGAAAAGTCATATTTTATGCTTTCGACGTCCTGAATTCGAATCCGAAGTCCGTTTCGCCAAATTCGAACCCGATAAGTTGTTTTTCACTGATTTATCATCCGATTCGATCCGTTTTTCAGAATTAAGCTCCGTTTTCATATAATTTATGTTGATATGTATATAAGGAATTATTGGAAGTTGAATTAAAGATCAAAGGCGTTCGAATGGAATTTTAATGGTCGATCAGTATGGCACAAAAATCGAGGTAATACTTTACTACCTCTTTATGCTTTATGGAACATGTGAATATTGGTAAATGCATTATTAAGATAATGTTGGTCTTATTTGTGTAGTTAATTAGTTTCTACACTCGATCTGAATACGGTAAAAGGGTTCAGTAATTGATTATGGTTATGATGACTTTTATAAGAAATTGAGGGATTGTTAGAATTAAATTACAAGTTCTGTGCTCAGTGATAAAGAAATCAACTTGGATCTGTAACTTATTGTTTATTTCATCAAAGGTTAAATGTTAAAGGTACTTGGATGAGAAATTATGAGAATACTCCGGTAGGGTAAAATTACAAAAATACCCTTATGTTATAAAAAGATAAGATTTGACTATGGAAGTTGGATAAGAGGTTTTTAAAGACATATTGATATGATGAAACTACTGATGTGCGTAAGAAATGCTAGTTTTGCTTAGAAAATATAGATAACCGGTTTTTAACCCAAGAGGATTTGAGCAACATGCTAGAAGTCTGTTAAGGAATCATTTCAAGATCAGAGAATGTTGGAGAAAGCAATTAACCATGGGATCTTTAAATTATAATTATTTTCGTTAAGAGCTAATATCGAAATTATCTGGTTAAGAAATTACGAAAATGCCCTTGAGAGATAAAATAGTCTGAGTTGACCCTGAATGAGAAAATACTTTGAGAATTTGTTCTTAACTCGATTAAGTACGAATTTAATTGTTAAGATCCTGTCTTTGTACAGAAAAAGTCATGATATTCCGTTTGTAAAATCTGAGAAGGCACTTGACCTGAAAAAATTCGAGTAATCAGTAAATACCTGAAGAATAATTTATCGGGGCTATTCTGCTGTCAGAATTGTTCGAAAGGACTGAAATAAATGATAAGATTGAATTTAATAGTAAGATCAGACGAAAGAAAATGATTAAAATACACTGAATCTATAAAATGACCAAAATACCCCTGTAATGGAAATGGCCCAAGGATACCACCAAGCTTAGGACTGATGGGATATCATCGAGCTCTGTAATGATTGGAATAAAACTGAACACCAAAATGACCAAAATACCCTTATGACCTATACTAAGTAAATGTCTTGGATTAATTAAGGAATCCAAATAAGCATAGGTATTGGACTACCTTTAAAAGTAATGGAACACAATTTAAGTGAGTAGATTAACCCTAAAGCTATGTCAATACATGAACGACATAGATATTACTGGAATGCGTGTTCGTCTTTTCAAGTTTGGCTCGATGATAGTTTTGGAACTATTCAGTTCAGCTCAACTCTAGAACGCATTCAGTAGTAAGGATTTGATATTTGTTAGAAAAATCGACCACAGAGACCAAATTAAATTGAACAGAAGTACAATATGTATCTGAAATTCAGAAACGTATGGATTACCCTGAAAAACCCCGAAATAACAGGAATATACATGAGTGCTAAATGAATTAGGTAACCTCAATGACTGAGGATTTAGTAAGTGATTTGGATAAGTCTGGAAATTCTGATGAGTTTACATAGAGTACAATTACGATGGGTTATGATTAAAATAATCAAGTACGTCAGTATTACATGATATTGTGGAAGCGTGAAAATGAAATAAAGATATTGAAAGATCTATTCAACGATGATTCCGAAGATGATCTCTGGACAAGAATTTTTGGTATTAAAGAGTAAATACCCTGGAAGGGTAATGAATTGACCAGTCGATAAGTATCAGTTCTGGGAGTTGTTCGATATTCCGATAGATCGACACAAATCGTAAATGTTTCGAATATTCGTTTATTCCTTATCAGCTCAATTCACATTCTGAATAACTGATGATTCTGTCAGTTAATCAACTCTTCCAATAGTGATTCTAAATTCCATCATTCTATCGACATACTGAAGAACTGTGTTTCTCTGCCTGATACAGTACCGCTAAATAATACCTGTAAACTCTGGTGTGTTCCCTAATTACATGAATATTTTATCTGATTTCTGATTTGAATTCTATTATCATATTGACCTGGATTCTGATCTGATATTGACATGGATTCTGATCTGATACATGACATGGATTCTGATATGATACTTGACTTGAATTATGTTTTGATTTTTGATATATCCGTTTACGGACGGAACATGTTTTATTTGGGGGTATCGTTGGAGGAAGATTACTTGGAGGCTCCTCGGCTTTGTGCTCAGGGCCTTACTTGCAGGCTCCTCGGCTTTGTGCTCAGGGTCTTACTGTTCGCGACAGGGTTGTATGGTTCTGGGGAACCTATACATTTTGTTCGTGACAGATGGGGGTATATATATATATATGTTTTAAAAAGATCTGAAAAGTTACATGGTTTTTGGGAACACACTAGAAAACCTATTCTGATCTCCTGAACCTAGACATCCGAAATATTTCTATCTGAAATTAATATTATCTGTTACTACTTGCGATATCAATGGACCTCAGCTCAGCCTAAAAATCTATAGATATCTGAACCAATAAGGAAATATATGTTTATCTGTATCTGAACGTTCTTCAGCATCATCTGGTAGTTCTGTATTACTGAGCTTTTCGAAGTTCACTCTATTACTCAACATTTCAGGTTAAAAGAATTGTACCAGTGCAACTATCGTCATCAGTAAGGGAGTTCTTCCGGTGCTGTTTGCAGAGTACGGTACATGTGATTAAGGGGCATGTAATTGTATTTTGTTTTAATATTTAAGTATGAAAATCTGTTTTATTTCTGTATACTGATAAATCATTTTATGAGTTATATGTTTTGACAAAAGTTTTAAATTTTTCGCTATTTGTACAGTGGGTCGCTCCGGTAGCCCTAATGTGACTTCTCGGATCAGATCGGGTTACCATCATCGGTCTGGGGGTTACATTTAGTGGTATCAGAGCTATGGTTTGAGTCAAAAATTTTCAAGATAGACCGGTCGGTCGAATGTCAAAATATGACTGATCAGTATATGCCCCTAGACTGCAATCGTACCTCTCTGAGCTGGAACTACAGGGCTGTGTCCCTATTTGTAACGAGTAAACCGAAGTTTCTATCCGTTAAGGCTATACTTGTACAAAAAGGAATATCATTAACATCTGTCTAAACGCTGTAAAGTACCTCACGAGCCATGTGAGAGTTAATTATCCGAGAAATGCTAACCTGACTCCAGAAATGAAAATGGGATATACTGCTGCTCTATGAGCCTATTCACGTAACCAATGCTGAATTAATTTTACAAGGATAAAGTTGTTTTGGTTATTTACTTGGACTGAGGGAGAATTCTGATGAGAATGTTTACTCAGCTGATTAAGGATTAGTAGAGGACACGTACCTTTGTAAAAGCTACTTGAAGCTATGAAAGAACTGATGGAAGTTTCATTTCTACAACAATGTGACATGAATGAATTTTGAGGACGAAATTCTTTTAAGGAGGGGAGAATTGTAACACCCCAATTTAAGGGCTAAATTTAAGAAAATATAAAGTGGTGAATTTAATTGGAATTTTGGAAGGAAATTGAGGATTAAATTGTAAAATTTCAAAGTTGGCAGACCGTTTTAAGAAGTACAGGAAATTAAGTGGCTAAACCCATGATTTAACCATTTTTTATATGTTGAATTATAAATCTCTTCCCCTGTGCGCAGGCTGCATATTTTTTTCAAGTTTTTTCTTTTCCAACAACCCTCTTTTCTACTCCGATCTACTCGCAGCCCGACCTCCGACCGACGAACCGAAACCACCATCGTGTTCGTTGTCAACCGAGGAACAAAACCCCTCAAGCCTTTCGTCATGATCGTCGGTAATAACTCGATTTCAGTTGGTTTTTCGTCAATTCACGACGATCCGATCATCCGTTTACGACACCTCCCGCACGATTGAAAATGCCGATTTACAAGTCGAATGTCCTCAAGTCAAACCATTTAATCTTCTAAGATCGCTTTTGACCGTATTGTGATTTCATTATCTTCCCCTTACTCTTCTATCTGATGCTCCAATACTTTTAACTGTAAAATTATGTATTTCCTTAATAACATTTAACAAGAAAGGTCATAGTAAATGTGGTTTTATTTCTTTTCTTTTTGCTGATATTTGATGTTTCTCGAATTACCTTCACCATACACATAATGAATTATCAATTTGTCATCATTAGGATGCTTTCAAACATACCATGGAATTGGATGCTTCTCTGTGAAATGTGCCTAAACCAATTGCACGCTTTCTTTTTTTTTGCTTACTTCCTCCTTTTTTAACGTAAACTAGAGCTTGAAAGAACGAAGTACACAACTCCCGATGGATGCTGATGATGAGAACGCACCCTTGTACCAGACCTTGGAGTATTATATGGGAGAGCCATTACCTCCCCCTGAAAATTATCCTGTCAATAACACCAGATTGCAGGGTAATGATTTTGCCTATAACTATGGGAGTTTTTCTGTCAAATAAAAGAATGAGCTTTTTGAAGTAACTCGGAACAGCCTTGAGTTGCTCTCTAGCATATTGAGTACGGGAACAGAGCCAAAACCCCCAAAGGTAATTCTTCTGGTTCCAGCATGATTTAATTATGATCAAGTAGTTTATTTGTTCGTAGTTCTAGCTGCGTATCCGAAAATTTCTGCCATGTAGCTATTCTTCGGTTGACCCTTTAGAACTGAATGTACCTTCTCTTTGACCGCTTAGGTTTGCCATGAAATAAAATGCTTCTGCATTTTAGCTGTTATTATATTTTCCAAAATGCTATGCTGCATCTTGAATCTTCTTGTTCCTCCGATGTGATATTGTCGGCATAACATCATCCTAGTTTTTAAACGCTGGAAAACTCAGAAAGTTCTCCTGTGATGACAGGATGACCTGACGGAGAGCATGCTGGAGAAATGCAAGCAGTCACAGCTAGCTATTCAGATGATCATAGAAAGCACTACAGACGATGATGGAACCCTCTTTGAGGCTCTGAATCTGAATGATGAGCTTCAACAAGTCATCTCCAAATTCGAGGTGCTGGAAACTGGTTCGAAAGTCGACACCACTGCCGTTATTCCCACTGCTCATGCTGAGACCGATATAGAAAGTACATTGGACGCTTCACCTTCGAACCATAATGAAACCAAGACCATTGCGTCCCCGTCCACCCATAATGAAACCCAGATGAATGCTTCCCGAAAAGCAGGTGGTATCGAACCAGGCAGTGATGCGAAAGTATCGAACGAGAATGAGGAATCTGAGAGGGTTTAATTTCCATTTCCATGACTTGTGCTGGTTAACCTCGTGATTGGCTTGCTGTAATTAGGGAATAAGATTATATAGCCCGGACACGATGATTAGTTTATCGGTTGTGTAATTAAAATAATTTAAAATTTAATGACAAAAATGAAACAAAATATTATAAATATATCTTATCTCGCTTTAGGTGAACTTAAAAACACTCACTCTTCTTAAAAAAGTTTAACGTCTTTAAGTTCAAAAATACATTTAAGATGCTAATACATAACAAATATTATATAATAAGTTAAAATATTAATGAAAATACTACTACTACTTCAAATTTATTAAATAGAACTTCAAATTTGAATTTTTTTCTCAATAATTATATTATTTTTTATTTACTGACAAATCTTTTAAATTTTATATAGTCAAATAAAAATAATACTGTAATTTTATAATAATATTTAGTCAATAACTGAATTGATATGATATTTTGTATCAACAAAAAATGAATATATATATATATATTATCTTTTTGTAGGAGTCACCGAATTTTAAATTTCAATTGTGCTTATCAATTTTTTTAATTATATTAACTGTTTTTTTAGTTTTGTGAGAAAATTAATCCAACAAAAATGAAAAATAATCTTCTCATTATTATTACTTTTTGAATATCCATTTATTAAATTTTAATGATCAAGAAATATCAGTATACTTTTTTTAAATAGTATGTAAAAATATTATAGCATTTTTATTAATGTAAAGAATATTTAATAATATTATTTAATTATATACTTTTATTAATTAATTATTTTTTAAATTGATAGCTCGTAATTTGTTCATAACGTAGTTCAAACATGATTCGATGAACTTTTAAACCTTGTTAAAAAATAGAATAGATGATAAATTTTTCTAATAACATGCACAATAAGAAACAAACATTTTAAGAAATAACAAAACTTTAAAAATAAATACATATTTTTATTAAGATAAAATGGATGAACACAATTCTATTATGTAACCTAGAAATCGTAGATCTTTTATATATTTAAAACTATGAGACCTTATTAAAACTAGTTAAAAAAAACTAATCCCTAAGAAAATAAAATAATTGATCTTAATAAAATTGAGAGCAATGTAGTTTGAGTCTATAGATAAAATATCTATAACGCCTAAAGAGTACACCACAAATTTCATATGCCTCCCAAAAAGCATCACAACAATTTTTATCAATTTCCTTCAAAATATCACATGTTGTTGCTTTCCAAATCTTTTCAAAGCACTCATTGCGATAATTCTTTGTTGAACACCAACACAACTTACTTCTTTTCATGAAATATGGAGCATTTATTGGTACTTCACATTGGTTCAGAGGAGTCGATGGAATTGGATTAACTATTGTCGTAATTGGTGGCGCTTCAGTAGACGAATTTGATTTAGGTACTATTGGTGGTTGTGGCGGATGCGGGTTTGATTTAGTCATTGGTGGTGGTGGTGATGATGTTTGTGGATGCGGGTTTGGTTTAGTCATTGGTGGTGACGGCGGCGGTTGTAGTGGGTTAATTTGGGATGGTGGAGGTGGTGACAAACATTGACAACTACAAATCTTAATGCACGTCCCATTTACTATCTTTTTAATTTATTATTGTAGGTTAGTTCTAAAAAAACAATTCTACTATCTTTTTTGTTTTTTTTTTAAATTAAACTAAAGAACTAAATTTATCTGTTCACAACTAGTTTATTTATCTATAGCTTTTTTAATTTTTTAATAAAATATAATAATTATAATTTTTATGATGTAACAATTATGATTTAGACTATATTTTTAATGATATTTATTTAGCATATCTAATAATCTTATAGGATGATTTTATCAAAATTTAAGTTCTATTTAGCTATTTAAATATTTTTCATAAAAATATTTAGAATTATAGTTAATATTATTTGTCTGAAATGCTACTAAATTTTAATTATTTTATTATTTAAATATATATTTTAGAAAAATATTTAAGTGATAATTTTTAAAGATATTTAAAACGACAATTAAGATATAATAGGTACAAAACTTTTAAATAATATTAATAAAAGATAAGACAAATTCTTTCAATATATTTTAAATAATATTTTTAATATTAACAATCATTGTTCATGAGTTAAAAATAAAATATTTATTTATTATGTGTTTGTTTAATATGTTTTGGCACAATTACAAAATGTACTAGTTGACTCTACAACAATCAAATTAGAAAAGCACCAAACTCAATCTCAAATGATCATCTTTCCTTATATAAAATCGAATAACATACACCAGATTAGTCCCAACGATCAGTTATAGACTTTCTAGTATTGCAAATTCAGTCTTTGACTACTATGTTTTTATTCAAATTCCTTAACAATCATTATTCCTTATTTTATTTAATTACATCCTTAATGTTTTGATTTATTAAAAATAAGTACAATTTGAATTTGACAGTTATATTATATCTTAAGTGTCATACCGACGAACATGACACAACTGACAATTTAGTAAGAATTGATGGGTATTAAATGAAGTTTAATTGTGACTGAACTGATGTATGATATTTCTAAGAGTAATATTCACTATACATATCAGACAGCTGACTGCTCATGTGTTATTTATTCTTTATAAGTTAAGGATATTCAGGAAAGATAATATTTGGAGATTGAGTTTCATGTTTTTCGAATTTGAATATCATTGAGCTAATTAGTACATTTTGAAATTGTGTCAAAAAATATTAAGATGATACATTATAAATAAATATTTCTTAAATCCATGAACAATGATTGTTAAGATTTCATTAGATTATACAAAGATTGAAAATATATTGAAAGAATTTGAATTATCTGTTAGTGAATATTATTTAAAAAGTTTTTTTAAAAATATTATATTTGTCATTTTAAATATCTTTAAAAATCATCACTTGAATATTTTTTTCTAAAAATTATATTTAAATAATAAAATAATTAAAATTTAAATAATATTTTAGATAAATAATATTAACGATAACTTTAAATATTTTTATAAAAAAATTAAATAACTAAATGGAATCGAACTTATTATATCAAACTTTAAGATTATTAAAGATGTTAAATAATTATCATTAAAAATATACTCTTCGTCATAATTATTTCAACATAAAAATATAATTATTATAAATTACTAAATATTATTTCTATAAAATTAAATATAAAAGTAGATTAATTGAGAAAAAAGATAAATTTAGCTGAATATTTTTTTTAAAAAAAATAAAAGAATTATAATAATTTTTTAATTTAAATCTAACCTCCAATAACAAATTTGAAAATTAAAAAAAATAACATTTTAGATAAAGTAAACAACCTGTATTTTTTTGTCTATAAATATAAAGTTTTAGAAGAAAAATTAAACTAAAACTGTGAAAATTGAAGTTGAGTGGAAGAATTGAAAACAAAATGATGGTGCAAGACATAGTTATTACTTTGTCAGTTTTGATGTTGTTGGCATCCATATTATACCGAGGGGATGCACAATCAAATTGTGATGAAACTAGCGCGGAATGTACTTGTTACCCACCTTGTCATCCTTATCTCTATCAAACCATAGTAAATGGAGCGTGCATTAAGATTTGTAGTTGTCAATGTTTGTCACCACCTCCACCATCTCAAATTAACCCACTACAACCGCCGCCGCCACCACCAATGACTAAACCAAATCCGCATCCGCAACCATCACCACCACCACCACCAATGACTAAATCAAACATGCAGCCGCCACAACCACCGGTAGTGCCTAAATCAAATTCGTCTACTGAAGCACCACCAATTACGACAATAGTTAGTCCAATTCCATCGACTCCTCTGAACCAGTGTGAAGTACCAATAAATGCTCCATATTTCGTGAAAAGAAGGAAGATGTGTTGGTGTTCAACGGAGAATTATCGCAATGAGTGCTTTGAAAAGATTTGGAGAGCAACAACATACGATGTTTTCATGGAAGTTGATAAAAATTGTTGCGATGCTTTTTGGGAGGCATATGAAATATGTGGTGTACTCTTTAGGCGATACAGATATTTTATCTATAAACTCAAACTACATTGCTCTAAATTTTATTAGGATCAATCATTTTATTTTCTTAGGGATTAGTTTTTTTTCAACTAGTTTTAATAAGGTCTCATAGTTCTAAATATATAAAAGATCTACGATCGTTAGGTTACGTAATAGAATTGTGGTCATCCATTTTATCTTAATAAAAATATGTTTTTATTTTTAAAGTTTTGTTATTTCTTAAAATGTTTGTTTCTTGTTGTGCATGCTATTAGAAAATTTTACCATCTTCTCTATTTTTTAATAAGATTTAAAAGTTCATCGAATCCTGGTTGAACTACGCTATGAACAAATTACGAGCTATCAATTTTAAAAAATAATTAATTAATAAAAGTATATAATTAAATAATATTATTTACATTAATAAAAAATGCTATAATATTTTTTACATACTATTTTAAAAAATATATTGATATTTCTTGATCATTAAAATTAAATAAATGAATATTCAAAAAGTAATAATAATGAGAAGGAAAAATATTGTTTTTTCATTTTTGTTAGATTAATTTTCTCACAAAACTAAAAAAATAGTTAATATAATTAAAATAAATACAAAATTGATTGCACAATGAAAATTTAAAATCCGATGACTCCTACAAATAGATACTTTTTTTATTGATACAAAATATAATATCAATTTATTTATTTTAATGATTAAATATTATTATAAAATCATAATATTATTTTTATTTGATTATATAAAATTTAAAAGATTTGACAGTAAATAAAAAATAATATAATTATAGAGAAAAAAAATCAAATTTGAATAAATTTTATTTAATAATAAAGTGTAATTGTTACATTTTTACATAACAAATTTATAAAGTAGTAGTATCTTCAGTAATATTTTAATTGATATAATATTTGTTATGTATAAGTACCTGAGATGTTCTTTTAAAACTTAAGGACGTTAATCTTTTTTTAAGTAGAATGATCATTTGAAATTCACCTAAAACGAGATAATTATATTTACAATATTTTGTATCATTTTTATCATTAAATTTTAATTTATTTCAATTTTATATTAAATTTTGACTCTAACA